TTTTTTATTCATTTTGCACATCCGCTGATGCGGCAGATCGCAAGCCGGCCGGGTCGCGGAACGAGTGGACCGGTCAGCCGGATCGCGGCAAAAGGGGGCGCAAAAATAATGTTCGGGCTCATTTTTTAACTCCGGCTGGAAGGGAGTCGAGGCGAAAAAGTGACGGATATAGATATACCTATATCACGGGGCTGGCGTAATGGCCGTGCCCACTGGATGAAACGGTCAAAGCTAAAAGCCCTCTCGCTCTCTTACTCGATTTCGACTATATTTTATCCGCGACCCTTCAACCACAGACGCGAGATCTCGATATGCGACCGCCAGTGTGCCTCCAAGTATAAGTCTTTACGCCCTCGTGAGCGATTACGAGGGATTACCCGCGATTACCTGCCCGCGCGAGTCCGGATAGTCGGATCTGCCTCGCGGCGATCTCCCGAAAATGGGAAAACCAGGAATCGATCGGTACAAACCCAAAATTCGCCGAAACGTATCCAACCATCGAGCTATCGAGTCGTCCCTTTCCATCGAATTTTCACGTTATCGGTTAGTGCATAATTCGCTCGGCGTCAAGAGAAACTATGGTATTACAATTTCTTTTCTAGGATGCGCGAGACATTAAGTAGATGGCCGAGAGTATTTACTCTTGGTCGCTCTCGGGAGGAGGATTTATAAACTATCGCCTTGTTATCCGCAACGGGATGCGAAACTCCGTTTAACGGGTGCGGAAGGACTGCAAGCGACACGCGCCCTTGGAGTAACTCTTTTTCCATAGGGTCGTAAGGGGTTGTAATCTGGGCGAGCACGAGAGGGCGGAAAGAAAGCAGGGCCAGGCCGGGTCGGACTTTCTTCACCCTTGTAACGATCCCTTTGATGTTCTACTTTTTATCGACGTGTCCAGAACAGACACCCTCCAGAGGGATCGACAAAGCGGGGGTGTGCCGTAGCGAATTCGTCGCCTTCGGAGCGGCGAGTCCGGTCTGCGGATCTTTCGGTAATTCCGAGGATTCCGGTAGGATTTCGAGGACGCCGGCGACCCGGGGAGCTTCGGGGCGTTTCCGGCACGGATTTACAGGTAACCGGGTGCGATTAATCCCGGGGATCGGCGATGCAGTCCCCGTTCAGCCCCGACTTCCGGTTCCCCATTAGGGAACCGTGCGATCGGCTCGGAGCATCGATCAATGCCACCCTCCGCGCGGCCTAATGAAAAGCACAAATTAACGCACGGGTACTACACACAGGACCAAAGTAGGTCGACATCCACTCGGGGAAACGAGCGACTTGGCTAAGTAGTCGGTTGACAAGTCCGGAACCACTTCCTCCTTCCGGCTTGCGCCAGGCCGAGCAGGGGGCGGCCTCGCGAGCGAGCCATTACAGCAAGGGCGAGAAATCCGAGGCGCGCTCTTTCTTCCCCCGAGGTAATTTTTTATTTCCGGCGAGCTTTGCTCGATATTCTCGGGCACTCCGACTCGTCGCCGATACCTGGAGGTCTCCGCACCCCGCGTCGATTTCCGCGTGAACGCTGACTGGCGGAAAGGCGTCGAAACAGCCCGCAAAGATCGAGCCACCTAACCGGTCGTTCCGCGATTCGATTTGCCCGGAATAACGATCGTCTTAAAATATACCTTATTACCTAGGCTAAACAACCGACGCATAAATGCGCATATAAAAAATCCAGGTAACCAACTCGAAGAAAATCCGACAAGCCCGCCACGACGCCTCTTTACATTTATATTGCACTTCTACCGGAGTTTGCCTCGGTGTTCCCGAATAATTAATATTTAATCTCGCTGTTTGATAGCCAATCCCTTATTTTCACGCTTTGGCAAAATTCTAAACGTTGGGATTAATTAATTCTCCAGGGAGATACTCTGGTTTTCCCGTGGTCTAGGTTTTAAATTTCTTTTTTGGAGTCCAGGTCCGTAGTTACTGTGTCTATTGTTTTCTCTGTATTTTCCCAGCTCCTCGACGATAGACATTTACCCCATCTCTAGTTAACAGCGCTCGGTCGATGCGTCATCCCATCGGGCCATCGTCGCGTCTGCAAAACTCCGCAGGGTGAAGAGGTGAATGGCGCGGCCACCCGCGGAAGGCAGGGATGACGGGGCGTGGTTACGAGGGTTGATATGTCGGATTTACTCGGCAGGACCAGCCTGCATCGACCAATACGAGTCGGAGGCCCGATGTAGCAACAGTTGCAAACGCAAGCGCCGTAGAGCCCTCCCTTCTAAGCCCACCGATAGGCAGAGCCGAGGTTCCCTTTAGGTGGATACACCGAAGGGGTGTACCACGTTCCATAATATAGACGCGAATAGAATGTGCCCCCCTCCAAGAAGAGGCTAACCCCCTCTTCGCACGCAACATCCTTCTTCCTATTTTTCCCTTTCCACGTCTCTTGGCATCCTCAACCCCTTTACTATGAATAAACGCAGTCCAGATGCAGTGCACTCGCAATCTCAATTGACGTTTGTAAATTAATCCACGCATTGAGAAATTAAACAGGGTCAATAATTATTGCGTCTGCACCCATCCGTTACATATAAAGACTTGGATAGCGTTGGAAGATCGCGCTCTTCGAGAATCGCGTCCAGGTTGGGATAGAAGAAGAACAGCGTTCACGTTTCGGTTTCTTCGTACTGATCGACGTCTTCGCCGGAAGTTTCGACCAGGTCTTCTTCCAGGATGTAGTCGGACAGTTTTAGAGCTTTCGTGGCCTGGAAGTCCTCTATGGTTTTCCGGGACGGTCCTTGGTGCTTCGAGGCCTTGGTCCTCTCCTTGCCGATCCGACGCTTCTTCAGGGCTGCTTGAAAGTCGAACTTCGGCGGCCTAGGGGTTGGAAACAATTGGGTGGGGTTTTTTAATCACTGCGGCGGTTAATTGTGGAATCGCGACGGTGTCTCAAGGAGTGTAGGATTTTTTAATGCAAGCGTTCACACGATACTCGTTACCTGGGGCCATACGTGCAAAACGCGGCGGGAAACGGATCCGCAAACTACTCACGTTTCACCTTGGAAAACCTTTTCTTGGAGCAGGACAATGTCATGCCTGACGTCGGCCAGCAGGAGGAGCAAAAAATTGAAGCTCCCGGTGGCACCTTTCTGACCCCTGGGTCCTTTTTCCCCGGGCTCGCCTTTCTGCCCGGCTACTCCTGGAGGACCTGGGGGACCCTAAACAAGGACGAACCAACGTTAACCAAAGAATCACGTAATAAAGATTGTTTAGAAATCGCCATTTATGCCATGCTAAACGAAATAAGTAACTTACTATGGGTCCACGTTGACACTTGCAATATTCGTTGTCTGTCTGAACAAAACTATCGAGGATGGAATAAGTGCGCTCGTTTTCCCTCGAGTAGGCCTCCGATGCCGAAGAGATGTCATCGCCTGGAAAAGAAAATCCACGGTTTCCCGTGGATCCTGAAGATGTCGAAACTCTGCTGTTCACCAAAACTGAGATCCTTTCCTGTAGCCTTCGTACCTGTCGAGGTGAATGAAAAAGGAACTGCGTTATTGCAAATTCGATTAAAAAATAAGCTAGGCATTTTATCACAGCCTTCTTTGGGGGAGCCGAAATTTTCTTTGAAAGTTTCATGCGGTTTTCACCTTTTCCTGCAAACGAAGTACGGTGTCGCAGCTGGCGTAGCACCTTGAAGCAGCAGCAACGACGCCGGGGTTATCATCGCTACTATCGGAAGGTCCCTTTTCCGTGGTCCCGGATTCGACTACCTCGAGGATCCTTTCGCAGGTCTTGTTATCAGCCTTAAGGACGAAACCATCGTTGCACTTGCAAGTGAAACCTCCAGGTGAGTTGCTGCAAGTGTGTTCGCAATTCGCGGTTCCTTCGCTACACTCGTCTACGTCAACGCAGACCGGCTTAATGCCTCGTCGCTGCCTCTCGGGGCGGAACCTTTGAAATTAAAATCAGTATTTACTTAAAAATTTACTTAACAAATAAAATCTCCTGTATCGTGGAAAGCTAACATCTTCCTTAAATATACACTTCCCCACTTACGCTCTGCAATAGCCGCACTTAGCTTTTTTGGGAAATTTTAATTGTACCGATTAAGATCAAATTGGTATCACCGCGTAGATATATTCCATGAAAGAGATAAGACGAATACCTGTAGCCGTCCCAGCAGGTACAGACGACTCTTCTGAGAAGAAGAGTGCACCGCTGCTCGCAGATCCCCAGGGAACAGGGATCGCTCCCATTTTGGAGACACCTGGCACCCACGAGCGTGTATCCAGGACAGCAGTGCATCCTGGAACAGTCGATCCACTCTCCCTCAGGATTCCGGCATTTATATCGCGTCCGGATGACGTTTGCGGAAGGACACTCCAGAGTCTCCGGCGAGGAGACCGCCGGCAGGAACTCCTCTACCGAGTCCAGGTAATAGCCATCCTCACGGGCGAATCCTCCCGAAGAAACGTTGCCCTGGGTCAGGCCTGGGAGACTCAGTACGCTGCGGAGGGTGCAATGATTAATAACACTGGTGAGACAATATTTCCTATTACTTCAATTTAATGATAATATCCTATATTTCAGTTTAAGAGCAGATATATTTATTTTTCATCGCAGCCTACTTACACCGGCAGAATCTTCAAGAGCGCGTCCATGACTGACGAGGCGACGTCAGGTCTCGCAGCATGGCACAACGACTGTTTCTTCCGACACGAGGAAAACTCCCGATGGGATTCCGACCGAGTGGATACAGGAATGCCCTCGAATGGTCCAGCGGGCTATTTAGCGCCGCCCTTTCCGCAATTTCCGTAATTTCGACGATTTCCGGCAGCCAACAGCGACTCCGTCCGCGGCTGGCCGACCTCTCGACGCGCAGCGCGCAAAGTCGCGGCGTCCCCGGCTGCGTTGAACCCGTTCGCGGTTACATAAACCTAGAATACACTCTCGGAGCCAGGGAACAATGTACCCTCTATATTAATAAGCCCGACATGGCACGCAGCCGGTGCTTCGAGCGGTGAATAAAACCAGCAAGACCCGAACGACGGCGCACCGCCGTCTACTCGCGCCTCGTCTTGCATGCATCGTGGTGGTGGAGGCGCCGAGGCGAATCTTGAAACTCCGAAAAAGAAGTCCCTTCGCCCTCGTAAAAATGCCCTGTAAATGAGGAAAATAGAATATGAGACAAATAAATAGAATCGAGTAACTCGCATTTTTGAAAGCTTCCATAGCTATCATGGAAATGATTTATGGATACACCTCGAGATAAAAATGATATATAACACGATTTAGGAAATTCCCTGTACCTTTGCCGATTTACAATTATGCGGAGAATCGTTCTCTGGACATTGAGACACTTTTATAGATTAACTTAAGTTAAAACTAGGGGTTTTAAGTCGCTCGCTTCGCTTCTCCTTTCCGCTGAGGTAATCATCCGCCATCTTGGAATTTCGTCGGCCTTCTCACGAAGGATGACGAAAGGAAACATTTTTCCCGTTTAAACGAAAGGGCGCTCGCGTGAATGGAGGCCCATTGAATACGGCGTGGTGTGCACGCAATGCATCCCGTTAATTCCTTCGTCGAAGCGACGCACGCGTCGCTATTCAACGTCCACAGCGAGAGCGAGACGAGTCGCGTCGGCGCGCGTTTTAACGAGCGCGGAATCAACGTTGCAGCTAATTTACTCTTCGAACGTTGCGACTAATTTACTGCACTTGCCGAGAGCCTTGGCTGAAACGCCCGGAGGTCGAATTTTTAGCCTTGGCGAGACTCCACCGCGGGAAAAAAACACCCTATAGAGAGAAATTCTTGCATACTCCTGCCGTACGTGAGCGTACGCGAATCTTCGTTAATGACAAAAAAAGTTCGTCCTCCCCCGACCGAGAAAATGCCCGTTAAACGGAATAAATCAATCTCAGCAATCTAAAAATTTTAATCGAACCGTTAATACCAATATAATTCGCTTTGAATAGTTCTTAAATTATGTACGTTTGGAAATGTTCAGAACGACTTCCTACGATTTTTAGTGCACTATATTTTGCGTGCACTTTTTCGCCGAGTTTGCTTATCCATGAATAACTTTCGTTACTCGTTGCGTAATGTGTCCTCCGGTCACACGTTGAACTCGACATCTGGAAAGACTTCGAGCAAGTGACGTAATTAGTCGCATTCACAGCCTTGCTAATGGAGGATATACTGATTGTACGACTAATTCGGTCCCGTGTACATTAATAAAAATTTCCTCGGGTCGCAACGAGCTTAACTGCAAATATTCTCGAAATATTACCCGAATTTTTACAGATAAAATTGGAGTTCAGGGAAACGTGCAAGTCGTGTATAGTCTGGTATTCTAAAGTGAAATTGTAACTCAATGGTGGTGCCATCTAGCGGTGAGAACTTCAAGTTTTGCGAGAGGTTCGAATGAGCTAGCGCCACATGATGGCAGTAATTGTAATTGCATGCGTTTCCACAAGTTGGTAACATCAATTAAAAAATATTCATAGAAAACATATTACACAAATTACGGTGTAATGATAGGTTTACTCGTTACATGGTATGGTCACTAAATCGCAGTGCCACCTTTATCAACCAGAGCTATTGTAAAAAAGGTATTTCATTTTTATTACAATATAAACAATCAAGTGTATAAAATGTTCTGCATTGTATTTGAGAGGAGAGTCAAATTATTTTTTTTTCGGTTCCCCAAGGATATCAGCAAACAAAGTTTGAATGGTTTCCTTTTTCTCAAACGACTCCATCCAATCTTTCTTGCTGCGCACAAAAAGAGGAACATTGAATTTCGATGAAATAATGCTGCCACATTTTGTGGACCGTAAAGCTTCCCCCGATGCTGCTAGTTCTTCCATTATGATTACTTTCTGTTCCCCCTGGGCCCATGACCAGATTTTTTCTAAACATCTAGAACCATGAGTTGTGACAGCAAGTTGCGACCAGTTACCTCGTAACTTCCTGGCCAACTTCTCTCGACTCTTTACACCTATGTAAGGACCGGTCATGAATGCATCTATTATATGACTTCCTCTCGGGTCAGTAATAAGATGCATAAATTTTTCGACAGGCATAGCCAACAGACCGTTCACGATTTTTATTGGCTTGTTGAAATTAAGCATCGCTTGTAATATTAAACTTCCATATACTTGTACAGGGATATTTTCATTCTTGTCTTGTTTTAATTTTTCTATCATCTCTTTACCCTTCAATGAAGCAATACACTCTATTATTTCCGAATTTGCTTCCGATTTTCCTTCTTCTTCACAATGTAATGCTTTAGTGAGTGCTTTGAAGAATGCACCTTGACCAGTATGTAGTCGCTTACATGCATTAGCTGTGTTAACCAAGATTTTATGTGGTCCATCCTTCAAAACTGACTCATAGTGATCAAACAATTCTTCATTTATTCCTTCCAACTTTTCTTTAATTTCACAGTTGTCTAATAACTGTTGTACACTGAAAGCAGTTCCTTCCGATTTCAAAAGTTGATAAAGGTGACCAGCAAAGAATTTCTCGTAAATAAAGTTATAAATATCAGGCCCTGCTGCCATCAAGCAAGCTTCGAGCAGCCTGACATAACATTCTGACTGAAAGGCGCTAGAAAGCTGTTCCCCTTCATTGTCGGTAAAACAACTTTCAGTTATTCTTTTAATTATGGTATCACCCAAAGTACTGTCAACCCCTTTCAGAGATAATAGCACAACCTGAAGAAGACCAGAAGTCAGTTCATCTTGACCCAGCTGTGGAAACTGAGGCCACTTGTAAATCCTTTTACAGAAGTCAACGAGTAATTCGGTATACTCCTTTTTCATGTTTAGTTTAGATTCAAAAGATGGCATCACAGTTTTTTTATTCTGGTGGCGCTTCTTAGTGAATCCTCCGAGAGCTTCTACAACGGTCCTAAGCACATGATTTGCATAGGTATCCCACATAAATTCCTCCATATTATTTATCACGTATCTACTCAACTTTAGTGCAACTTTGTCGTAAGACTCCCTTTCGGAATCCTTTAAAGTATTGTCCTCGCTTTGTTCTTTTTTTACTCCCTCCACAGGTGCTTCTTCGTTTTTATTGCCTCGGTCTGCACAGACATAAATAATTTTCTGCACTACATGACTAGCATATCTGTCGCAACAAACTGGCCTCAAAGATCCCCAGAGAGCATCGACCAACCTATTTATTATCTCTAAGGTACCGATGTCTAGTAACATCTCCAATACTTTCGAGCCAACCTCGTTTCGAGCGTAATCAACCTCATGGCCCGCTGCTTCTTGAGAAAAATTATTAGCAAATATCAACCTTTCCTCGTCAGTAGGGAAGCCCGTCTGCATAAGTTCTAAACTATGAACCACGTACTGATACGTATCAGCTTCTAACTCGCCTTTTTGTCCGTGTTTGGCTTTGCGAGCAAACTTTTTAGCCATTTGGTTTGCCGACCTCTTCTTCTTCCGTTTAATATTTCGACCGCCACCATCTCGGATTTTTTCGTCAACAGATTCGAACATTTTTCTCAGAATCTTTTAAAATTTACGATTTTAGTCAGGTTTAACATAACCTCCTTCTTAATGCACGTGGGAAGAAAACAATTCGTCTATTCGCGGGGATGCGAGTGAACTAGTCGACGAGGTAGTTGACCGCGCCGCCGCCGCCATCAGCACCATCTCTGAGGATTCCTGCGAACCCCCTTCACAACTCGAACTCCGTACTCACCCGCGGTAAATTCAAACTAGTTTACTCTGGACAACGGAAGAATCTAGACAGCAGTGACTCACGCTTTCACGGTATTTATTTGATGCTCCACCAAAGCGATGAAATAACCAGTTAAGTTGTACAGTACTTCTCTTACAACTTATCCTTACTCGCGGCACATCTAAGAGCCCGTAATACATGTTTATATACAACTATCTCGTCGATAAAATGCATCACCGAATCGACACGGGAGGAGCTCGGGCTGTGCACTATACTTTTGCAATTTCTTCCCCGACATTTCGCCCTGACGTCCTCGTCCCGGCAGGGAAGTGTAAAATGCTTTCGTTCCGCATTCGCAACTGCCCTGACAAAGCGGTTCGCCATATCGAGGGCCCCGCAATTAGCCGCGTAAAAGATTTACGATAAGCTTCCCACTCGTCTACGGGGAGAAAATCTGTACAAGAAGCCGCGATTCGCGTTCGCAAGACTCTTTGCCAAGTCTGTAAAACCGGCTACACGAGGCAAAGCTCCTCGAGCCTGACTCGCAGCCCGGCCTAAATTTATTCACAATTCGTTCATCCTGCTTACGATATTCCACTCAAAATCGCTGTATTTCCTGCTTTTCTACAACCCAGAAAACTCGTCGACAATAGCGATGGGAATCAATACTTCCTGGAAGTTCGAACGTCCGGAAGAGAATTTCAGTTACTCCGAAATTAGCTTGTCTCACTCGGCCGGAATTTTCGGGAAGGGAAAAAAAATGAAAAGGAATCTGCTCCCATCGCCATTAATCAGTAAGGTGACCGAGAACAAGTATGTTTCGAAAATACATGCTCCCTGCGACAGTCATTCGCGACAGGAAACGCCTTAATGCTAAAAAAAGTCATTGAAGTCGGAATCTGGGCATATTCCGTGTAAAAATTACTCGAAAAGGCTTGATTCTGGAGAAAATTTCAAACCCCCTCCACCCGTCTTACGTCCGACGTAAAACGATACAAAACGACGTTGACGGTGAGCCGTGGCAACAATATATATATATATGTATATAATATACAATCGATCGATTACCTGGAAGAGTACAAAATATATATATAAAAAAAGAGGAAGTGTACCGCGACAGGTATGTGTATACATATTTCTTTTTTTTTTCTTTTTTTCTCTCTCTCTCCCCCATAATTTTGGACAACGGCGCATTTTGCGGGATCGCGATTATGCGGACAAAGTGAATCCGAGATTTTCAGTCTTCGGAAGCCGAACGGTTTCGTCGATGAACATTGATTACCCTTTTAACGAAGTTACCCATTTATAATACCAAAGTTTTCGGAAACTTATGTCGCGATCGCCCACGACACATTTAGACATTCCTTAGTTAAAACGCTCGTACGATTAATAGCCAAAAACACCAGGCCAATAGCGTGCCTCGATTCGCTTAATTAATAGATCGCATTACGGCTAGAACATTACACGTATCCTTCGAAGATATAACATTTAGCATTTCGCAAATTAAATGTACAGGCTAGTTTTGAATCCGTCTCTCGACGGGACGATGAGCTTCCCTTTGACATAGCTAGGTCGAAAAGGCGTCTCCGGGTCAGAGAAAAGAAAAAAGAAAATACCGGCAAAATAGCTTTCCTTCGGAATGTTCGAAGTTGATCCAATATTTCGGGTGACAAACATTTCCCTTAATTTAACATTGTCTTTCTTGTTCACTGGAACCTTGGACTCACTCCCCATGGCAATGGAAGCACGAATCCTTCGACGGCAATTTCTACAGATTACAATTCGCGTGTTAACAACACAATTCGTCAATCGTTATCCCCTCCACGGATTCTCTCATCAATTTCATTAATAATAATATCATCAAGGATTTCGAGAGAAGAAAGGTAAAGAAATGATTAAAAAAAAAAAAAGAAAAACAGACTGCACCGTGAGTCTCTCATCAAGGAGTTCGATTCTCCGATTATTTATGTATGTACAATAAAATTAATCAACTCGATCGCGATTGTGCGAAATCTACTGGAGAACCTCGTCTGCCGTGAGCACGGTAGCTCGGATATATTTGTAACAATTTCTCCGAGTAAACGCGATGAAAAAAAAAAAAAACATAAAAGTATCGCAAATGCCTTTCCTGGTAGGAATAGCTTTCTTTCTCCTTTTCCTAACTTCGTATAGAAAAGGAACGGAGGAATCTATAAAAGTCATCGAAAAAACGTTGGCAGCCATGGTCAGGATAGAGAAAGGAAAAGTCTCGAAAACGAAAGTGAAACGTGCGATTTCCCGTGGTACGTGGTACTCGATACGCTTAGGAAAAAAAAAAAAAAAAGACACGGATCGATGAAATTGACAATTACTCGCCAAGTGGCGTATCCTCGGAAGCACTACTGACACTTAACACCGAGCAAAGACCGAATGGTATGTTAATATAAAACGTATTTCCATCAACGATTACGAGTCGATCGCCTGCACAATTATTCCCTGACAACGGGTGTACCAGAAATCGAGTAACCCGGAAATGACAAAATCTGTACTCAATGCATACTTTTCTAATTAATCCTAAAATAGCTGTAAAACATACACCTATGGATTATTCCGTAAATCATTGTTTAAACTACATAATTCTGAGTAAGCTAAAAATGTAAATGACTAAATAACTTCCTAAATAATCGGCTACCTAATAGAGTTTTCATATTCTCCTTAAGACCGAGAAGAAATTAGAGAAATAATAAAACGGAGTATCCATTGAATACAAATATGCTCATTCCTGTTCGGAATCGTCGAGCTCGTAAGCATTTGGCAACCAGTATCGTTGGTTTTGGTTGGTCACATGGAAAAGGAAAAAAAAAAGAGAGAGAAACGAGGCGTTGCGAAAAACGGAAGTACATAAACCACATGGTATTCCCGTTTGCTGGTAAGCGTTATTCTCGACTGACGTGATAAAACTACGATACGATATCTCTTCCTGCGTTCTATCGGTAGTGAGATTTTCCGGTCCACGCAGAGAGGAACCTCCCTCCGACAAATATAAAAGAAGTATTCGACCGAAGTATTAGCGAAGCTACGAGCCAGCTTGTAGATTTGATCAAGGCCTAAAGGCGCTTCGAACATTCTCGAAAATTCCCGAAAAAATCGCGTTCCTTTCAGGATTTAATACCTCGAGCTCATGCGCTGCCCATCAAGAGTGATTTCGTTGGCATTCCGCGAAAAGATAGCACTCGAGGATTCCGAGATAACCCGACAAGTGCGATATCACCGTACGATCTAATTGTCTCTCGTTCTCTCGCAGCCCTCGAACCGTAAATATAAATACTCAAAGGTGCACCGATAAAAACTGGCAGCCACGAAAAGGCGCCAAAGTACGGCTTTCTACGTCAATTACATCTCTTATCGCCGGTACTTCGACGTGGCGCATCGATTATTTTCCATTTTTTATCCGTTTGAGCGATCGTCGAGGACATCATCCCCCGATAGAATTACCTGCGCTCAACGTTTTTAAACTTTCGAATCACCGTCATTCGATTCCCCGCGCACTTCGGTATCCAGAAACTACGGAGTAAATCTAAAGTCATGCTCGTCATCGGCCCTTGGTCGTCAAATTTCGTACAAGGGACCGACGAGTGCAACGTCCTCGCGCGCTGCGGCACAAGCGCGTCTGAATATTGGAAAGTGGAGGAATATAAAAGAAAAAAAAAAAGAAAAAAGAAACGTAATGGCATATAAAGGACCGACTAGCCGCCACTGCCTACATCGATCAAGTCGCTTATCATCCGCGCCTCAAGGCGATGCATCGATCTAAGAATAGCCGATCGATAAGCGATTTATGAACGCGACATCCTCGCACGCCGCGTTCATAGCCGAATGCACCGGAATCTCTGGATCATCGATAGACGGACTCGCCGTCTTTAAAGTCCCATCCACCTGGACTATCGGCACGCGGTGGAACCGATGCGTAGCTTCTCGATTGAATAATAATCATCCTTATCGCCGGTACTTCGATGTGTGACATGCCGATCGGCAGGTCTTCCCCCGTAGCCCGAGGAGTCCCCTCGGACGTGCAATCAATGAATATCACCTCGCGTTGGCGCACGAAGACGGCCGAAGAGATTCTCTGCGGGCGGTTCAGTACGCGGAAGCTTCCTTGTACTCGGAGCCCTCCATGGTGAAGAAATCCTCGAGCTTCCACTGCAGGGTCTCGAAGGTCGGCCTCTTCATGGGGTCCTTGTTCCAGCACTCGAGCATGATGTCGTAGAGGGCGGTTGGACACCCAGGGGGCGACGGCATTCGGTATCCATGCTCGACCTGGTGCAAGACCTCGGCATTGGTCATGCCTGGAACCAAACATAAATCATAAAACACTACATAGACAGTAGCCTCGAGCCGTTTGAGCCTGTCTCGCTGGGACGTAAACGTGGGACACGGATTTTCCGCGGACTCGACCGAAGCTGCATGCAATTACGTGCACGACACGCGCAGGTGCACACATCTCTGGTTCGGCTTATGCATCCGCCGTGCGGTGCACATACACGAACAGGTAGGGGAAGCCTGCCCTTGAACGGCGCGATAAAGAGAAGTTGAAATACGAGAGTCCTTGAAGGAGCGGATCTTGAAATAGCCGAGGCCTCACTTACCGGGGTAAGGAATTCTTCCGTAAGTGACCAGCTCCGTGAGAAGTATGCCGAAGGACCAAACGTCGGATTTAATACTGAACTTGCTGTAATTCGCGGCTTCAGGGGCCGTCCACTTGATGGGGAACCGGGCCCCGATTCTCGCCTCGTACTCGTCCTCCTTGATGAGCCTGGCCAGTCCGAAATCGGCGATCTTGACGATATTGCCATCGGCCACCAGGACGTTGCGGGCCGCCAGGTCTCTGTGTATGTAATTCTGCGACTCCAGATAGGCCATTCCAGCGGCTATTTGGGCGGACATGTCGATCAGCTGTTGCAGCTTCAGGCCGCGGCCTTTACCTGAAAAGAGTCAAGATTCGTCCATCAACCCACTAACCCAGCGGAACTTTCCTCCCGAGAAGAGAGACCCCTACCCTGCAGGTACTCCAGGAGGCTTCCGTTCCTCATGAGCTCGGTGATGATGTAGATGGGCTCCTCCATAGTGCAAACCGCATAGAGCTGGATCAGCTTTCCATGGCGCAGCTTCTTCATGATCTGCGCCTCGGCGAGGAAGTCCTTCGGGTCCATGGTTCCTGGCTTGAGGGTCTTTATGGCAACCGGGGTGGTATTGTTCCAGAGGCCTTCCCAGACCTCGCCGAACTGGCCCTGTCCGAGTTTTCTCACGAACTTGAGGGAAGAGCGATCGATCTCCCATTGGTCTCTTGTGCGGTGGCTCAGGCCCTCGGTTACGGGTTTCTCAACCTGGGAACAGTTCCAGAAACGAGCCAGTCAATGTCTGATTGGATACAAATAATTCCCCATTGTTCTCCTCCCTTTTATCCCCATGTTTCCGGCCGACCGACAGTGAGCTCTAAACGTCTCCTTGAAAAAAAAAAAAAAAAAAAGAATAAGTAACAATTCGGCCGGATAGAAAATTTACATGTGAAATTTTCGCGAATATCCAAACCTTCGTGTTGTGTTCGCGTTTAGACGACCGTAAGCGAGCACTGTCCAATTCTGCGTTCAAACGGAATTGGAAAGTGACTCGTATACGTGTAGACGTAACACAACGGAGCACCAGTGATGTGCGTAGACGCATTTGAACCATTGAAAGCGGTTTAAACGCGTGAGCCATACTAACCGAACCAGCTGGTATTCAGGCCTTCTCGCTAGTACTTGTAAATCAATCGGGGAATTATTAAAACGACCGCAACGAACAATCTGCCTTTATTCGACGACAATGGACTTGCCTAGATGCGTATAAAAACCAGTCGAGTCGGTTATCAAAGGAAAGGCGTTGTACGAATGACTTGACAAAGTACACGTACAAGTAACGATTAAAAGAAAGAACCGCGGCTACTCTCCATTCTATTTTTTTTTTTCCATTTTTTACCGCACCACGTGAATTTAAAAATAAAAAGAAGCTCCCCATTAAAACTCGCCACTCAGTGGACGATTAACGGGGCCAGGTTCAAATGGGTCAACAAGTGCCTTCGACATTCTTATATCCATACAAACGCCATGGTCGACGATCATGCTATTTCATGTACAGCAGGCATTTTGAAATCGAGTTGAGAATAAAACAGAAAACTCCCGTGATTAACTCAACGACGTGTACTCATTAGCGTTCAATCCCTCCTTTCGATTGCACCGACTCCAATTTAAGGGCCGGCTGCACAAACCGCGATTAGTATGAAATTTCTAAACCATGATTAGTTAATCTTGGATTAGAAACTCATATTGCACCGAGAAAAATTAGGCCAACCGAAAATTAAAATCCGCCGTTAGGTAACCCCCAAAAATCGGGCGATTAACTCGAATGTCGGTGCAACCGGCCCTAAGTCGCAAAAGTAAGGACGAAGCCGCGTCGTTAAATTAATCCACGGAGCAGGATTCGATCTAATAAAACGTAAGTATGAAATGAGCTCATCAGGCGAGTGTAAAAAGAGGCATGGAATCGAAAACAAGCACAGGTCGCACGAGATGAGATCAAGGAAAGATGGAAGATGCTGGTTTCCTACTGCATGCAGACTCGGTCTCAAGATCGGTCGAGATCAATCCACGATCTTCAAATCTTTGGACACGGATTTTATACACAGTACATATTACAAAACCATACAAATACTAGACGGTGGACAGTCGGGTTTCTCAGGGCAGTTTGATTTAGTTATGCAGTTCCATACTCAAGAGAGACAGTCCAGCGTCTCATCGAGTACCCGGATTCGTTGGTCTCGTTTTCCCGAGGTCTAATTACCTCGGTTACGATCTCGGTGCCTGCAATATACACCCCGTTATCTCATATTTTCGACGTTGCATCGAACGTCTGCATTCGACTCATAACCGTAAACCACTTAGGTCTTACTTACTTATTTCGCTTAATGACTTACTTACACGTACTCTTACTACATCTTTACATTCAGTCTTGAGTGCGAGACATTGAAACCGAGGAGATCCGAGAGTGCGTTGAATACAAAGTGGATTCCAAGCACACACGTGTACGTACGTATACGAAAGTACACACTTTCCGGGAAGAAGGTAAATATATAAATCCCTTGGGTCGCGATAGGGGAAATTTCCGCGTTAATCGTTTCGGTGTACAGATCGCAATCGCGTGAACGAAAAGTCTCTTTTAATGGAGCCTAATGTCGGGCTTCCATTCGAGTTACCATGAAGAAATAAATCGGCGACGAAAAACCCACAGGCCGGGAAAACGTTTGAAAAGTCTTTCGTGTGCTTAAAACCCAAAGTGATAGGCTGATAACTCGGAGTGTGTTAAATGTGACGAGGGGTGCCGATGTCGAGGGGGTGGTTTCCTTCCTTTTTCGGGAATCTTTCACACCTGGGCTCACCACTCACAGGTACTCACTGCGACTCTTGCTGGACTATACAAAATCAATTTTCATTTTTCTTTTTTCTTAAGAAATCTGTCGAAAACCCTCAAAAATGTTGAACAGTGAGCGAGCTCGATCACGCATGAGAGATCCCGAAAATGGGCGACGGTTAATCGAAATGACGGTGACAATGATTTCTCTAATGTCTCTGGAACATTATTCCGTATAGGACGGGGCGGTGCTGCTCGCGGATGCAGAACAGACGATGGGAAGCGAGAGAACGGCGAGAAGGTAAAGGGTGGAAAAAAAATAGAGATATTCAACGTGTTACGTTCGTATTGGGATATTCAATTTACCAAGAAAATCCAGCGGGAGGTAGGGCAAGCAATAACAGAGAAACAAACACAATCTATTCAAAGAGGGTACTCCGCAAAGTCCATTAGTTTCTAGTTTCATTAAATGTCCCATCGAGATCCTAGTTTGACCGACCGACTCGACGAGAGAATTTTCAAGCGAGAAATGCGATCGCCTCTCGGCCACGTAAATTTTTCATTCAGCACTTTTTCGACAGCTTGGCAAGCGAGCTAATTAAAATATTTCTTTCGGATATTTAGGGAACTCGAAAATCCGATTTGGAAATTAATCCCTCACGAGCCGAGATTCGCAAACGGATAGCAAATTTGGCGAAGACATTCCCGCCTGGAAATCGTCGAGTTCGATCGCGGTTATTCGTAAGTTCTTAAGCAAAGTCCAACCGGAGTTTAGACAGTGCTGTAGAAAATACATCCGGCTCTCTTTCTCTCTCTCCGTATGTATAAAAGTGCTCTAACCCTAGAGAGAGGAAATAAAAAGATATGTCGTGCGCACAGAGGGGCACCATTTAAATAGTCCGATCGGTGCCAATCCGGGAAGCATCTGCGATAACAGTTAATGCAAATCGACTCATGCACTCATAAGATGCGATATTAAGGACAGTATTTACAGTCATTTCCGGGTTTTACAGGGGCACACGTGAGCGCAAGAGCACCGCCGAGAAGCGTCCCTCAAGTGAGCCTCCGTAACGCACGTAATGACAGCGACCTAATTATTTCGGAGAACATTTCATCCCGAGGGATTTCCGCCAGCGACAGAATCATTGATAAGCGCGGGTACTCTAAATTGCGCGAACCAGTCAACGTCGACTTGAAATCTCGGTCATAGAATCTAAAGGAGTTACTATTAGGACGCAACGATTTCGTCCGATCCGGATCTTAATCTCGATTAAATTGTGGTAATTGATAAGAGAACAATGAAGATTGTCGAGCACCCTGCCTTGCCCAGAAATCCCTGGACAGGTGCGGTCGCTTTTGGTCACCACCCTGAGGAAAAAACTGCCATTGAACCAAAGAATTTTTTTGTTAATTCAAAGAATAACTATTTGACTCAAATAAACTTGAATAAATTAGATGCAACATTTCTTTGGAATTATGATAATTTACTCCAGTCAATTAATTATCTTCTGAATGAACAAAATATTTCTCCGGTACCGATCAAAGAAATATTTCTTCCGTTCAATGACATTTTTTTTTCTCAGTGCACTCTCGTGGTTTGTTTAGGATTAAATGTCTAACTGAAGTGGAGAGGTCTCACTCTTAGATGCTGACGTTTAATCAAGGGGAAGGAAAGTTGACAGAAGAAAGAAAAAACAAAAGATCTGATAATACTTCTCGCATGCACCAAGCTGTCTAAACTCCGTTTAGACGACACCGGGTCGCGGTCCTGCTTCGGATCTCTCGCCCGACGAGGATACTCCAAGACGCTTACCTGGACACACGGCTTGCAAAGATTCACGCAGAGTCCATCCGCGTCCTTGCTGTAGTGTTCGACGAGGTCCTGCAGGTTCCTGAAGGTCGTCCTTCTCGCGATGAAGAAGCCACCCTCGTCCAGCTGACGGATACGGTAATGCTTCACTGTGTCTCCGTCGCGAACTGCAAAGATTATTAATTAAAGATCAATTGAATACCACCAATTAATAAATTGTTTCTAGCACGCCAAAATAAATGATAATAAATAATAGCGCGGCGTCGCCTGCCCCGGCTGCGTAGTTTTAGCCCATAATTCGGCAGGAATTGTCAGAGGAACAACGTCTCGAAGAGACAGGAAATTGCAATCTACAGACAGGATGCGTCAATTCTATCGCCGAGTGATACGACAAAACAACACTCGATACATGGCGTCACAACAATATGACCACGTAAATCGGAATCCGACAAGCATGATGCATCGAGAAAAAAAAAAGGCTGCTATTCGTTTACCAAATAAACGGTTGAATTTGAAGTCAATCGAGTATACCTGAAATTAGATTAATCGTCGATAATCGGTAATTCATAGTTCGAGTAACACCAATTGTTATCCCGAATTGTCTGGAATTATCGGGATTACGCGTCCCATCGTGTAATTCCGATTATCGCAGGTAATGACCTGCGGTCGGTAGGACGGAGTAATAAATTTTCTTCGGGTGAAAGTAACCATTCTAAATCACGAGAATTAGGGCGAGGTCAGCCTTGCGAAGCTGATAATAATTCGTTTGCACATTGGCACAATATCTGTGTTATTAGAAAATTGCAATATGAAAAATATACCCGAGAGTGAATAATCGTTGTGTCGACTCTCCGAGTCTCGTATAAGGAAGGCTCCGTGATCGTTTTCGGGTAGCAGCAGTTTTTTCTCAGCCTCGATTCTCTTGATTTTCCGGAAGTACCATCTGCAACCATAAAATAACAAAATTAACGGTCAGTTATGGCTCCCCTTAATTTAATAAGATAACGAGGACTGCGTTCGTGACGTCAGAAATATGAAACCGTTAAAGGAAACTTGTATGGCAGGCTAGCAAGCGATCCATTAAGCACAGTAGCCATTTGAATCACCGATACCCCGAATGTGTAACTGTGAAAGATCGATGTGACGTGCATTCTGATAGTGTCGATACCGCCTATTACAGACTACAACAAATACTTCAGATACGAGCCTTGAGTTTAATTTACATGATGTATTCGACGGACGTAAGGATATTTACAAATCCCTGTCCCCATGAGCCGAGCATTCCAGGGGAATATGGAAGAAATTATCTTATTTAGATCACGATTTATTGCAAAACTAAATTCCTGAATATTCAACAAAACTCTTAAATGTGGAACACCAAAAAAGTAGATTCTGAAAATCGATACTTACGGCTCCGCTTCGATGGATTTCAACTTGGCAACATAATTACTTGGGATGTAGCCCTCTTGCCTAGTCCTCTTACTTCTCGCGAGCCACCAATCACCCTGGGTATCGTTCAGTATTTCCAAATGCTCTCCCTTCCTAAAGCTGAGATCTTCGTCCGTGCGTGCATCATAGTCGTACAATGCCACAAAGATCTTTGCAGTCGGTACATCTGCATCCGGTATTTGTGGCATAGGCCTTATAGGGTCCGGTGGGGGTGTCGGCACCGGACTGGCCTGCGAAGCGACGGTGTCTACGTTCGGATTCCCAATTCTATCGGGCTTCTCCTTCTCCGCGTCCGTAGGGCTGCTAAAACAGTTGCCCATTTTGCCTCAATTTTTATTTGCCCACCGATCTCAGCACAAAAGACCCAAGAACGTCGGATCCTCCTTAGGGCAGCACGTAGCGATTTAATCCCAAGACCCTTCCATTGCGCATACTTCCAAACCTAACGATAATATAAGCACTCGCTCTATTCGAACCTTCCAGTAAATGGAACGATTTAGCTCCCACAAAGAGCCAACGAGTCCCTCATCTCGTACGGTCCTCCGAGCCTTCGCTCCAGGCTCTCACGACAGCTCGAAGAATTCACCACCACTGTTCCTTATCCCCTCGCCACTCTCATCGACGTAACCAAACCTGTTCTCCAAGATGACAAAATTTCAATGCAGCTCACTTTGGAGTGGACTTTAAATACACTCCCCTATCTTCCCCAGCAGTTTCCCCAGACAGTCCTGAAAAATGGTCTACGCTCCTCGTCCTAGAAGAGCTCAGGAGCCGTGCAGCAGCTTCCACATCTGCCAAGAAGCTTTTCCCTTCCCCTACAGCCTCGTCGACGAAAAATGTCTTACGCAAAGGCTCGAATCGTAGATGGGCAGACCTGCGAGATGGTCGGAAGCACTTTCGCTGCACAGAGGGCAATGCGATGGCCACACACGTCGATGCGATGGACAGGCTCGAACTTGTTCCCGTGGCGTCTCTGGGGAACTCGAGAGCCTCGAAAGAGCCCTTCCCTGGCGTTCGAGCTCAGCTGGAAGTCGCGGCCGAGGACGGAAACGAGTCCTCTGGATCCACTCACGGGTCGGGCAAAAAGTGGCTTGGCCTCCGTAGGATCTCGGAGGTCGGCGCACCTCGGTCGCTGGGCTCGCCCCGTCCCGAGAGCTGTCAGCTGGAGCTTCGGATGGCCGAGATCGATATCGTCCTCATGGGTGCCGCTCGGGTGCCGTGCTCGGCTCGGTCGCGGGCGCTGCAGGCCACTGCGAGAAGAAAGGATCTCGCGGATCCGCCTACGAGCTGCCTCTACGCTCGACGCAACGCGCCCCCGATCCTTTCGCACTTCGGAGAAAACACCTTTCGCCTTGCGGAACTCCTCTCGAGGCGAGCGTACATATCGACGGAGGGAGAAAGAGAGAACCAGAGGGCGCCAGTGGACACCAGCGGGCACCAGCGGGAGGGGGAGAAACTACTCCGACAGGACGTCCGCGCACGACGAAGGAGTGTCACCCAACTATTTTCAAAATCCATCCGTGTCCACCTGCCTGCCCGCCAATTTGCGCGGCCACCGACAGATGGCGCGCGTGGCCCCTTACGCCGCGAAATACGAACTCACTAGACGCTCGAGTGCGCGAATCAGAAAAAGGCCCTATAAAAATGGAACTAGGATCGAAAGAGAAATCGCGAGGGAATCGTGAATCTACTAAATATAAACAATCAAAAGGTCTACATTCGTGCAGGAACAAATTATAGATATTATTTAAACTGTTCGACGTTCTTGACGGGTCTTTTAGAATTGAATGAAATTAAATACTTCTAGGAACTTCGATGATTTTCCTTTCCCCCCAAGATTCGTAACTAATGTCTTCGTTAAGCTTATAAAATATTGCATAATTATTACCTGAACATCCTCCGATACAAATGCCGAAAAGACTTGAACCGCTTGAACATGATGCAAATTGGACTCTTTACACATAAAATAAACTTGACACGATTTTGACGCGTGGATGAATTTTAGCAAAGCTCGCAGCAACCATCGAAACGACAACGGTCTTTTTTGATGTATCGACTGAGGCTCGGCTTATCGCTAGTGCGGTTTTATCTTTAATGATTATATCACCAGATATACGACTTCTTTTAAACGATACGCGAATGAATCAGTTGATCGATTCGCAACGTGTCACCTTCCCGATTTACAGGAAGTCTACTAATATTATTTAATCACGCTGAGCCATAATTAAATTAGTCAGAAAGGGCAAGTTTAGAACATGGAACGTGGTTTCCATCTGTTCAAGTTTCGTCCATAAGGTTCCCCTTCATGATAATAGCGATTTCGAAGGCTGTTCAAGTCAAGCGCTTGAAATTATTCAATTTGATCATACCGTTTCTTTCAAACAGTGTTCTTTAATGTTTCTTAAAATCTATCTGCAACATAGAAAATAAAAATTAAAAAACCCAAGATTTAAGTAATTGAATTTGTACCGCAGCACCATGAGTGAAAAAAAGAAAGTACTCATGATTTGCTTAGGTGAGTAAGAGCAAATGCATTGAATACAAACTAGTTAAAAAACGAATAAGAAATAGCTGCAGAGCCAGTGGTCACATCTAACATAACCTAAAACTCTGCTGCGATCAATGTACGATATGAATATTTTATAGGCAACATCTGTCGATCGCCAATTGCCGAAGCTGTTTTCAGTGAACAAATACAGAAACAAGGTTTAATAGACACATGGGAAGTCGACAGTGCAGCGTTAATAGGATACCATACAGGAAAAGGTCCCGATCACAGAGCGATGACAACACTTAGGAAGAAAGGAATTAATGATTATATCCACAAAGCTCGGCCAGTATGTCTTAGTTTTTTTTGGTATTATAATGAAAATAATTCCTATAAAGTGAATTACATATTTCATTTTACAAGATCACCTTAAAAGACTACTACGAGTATGACTGGATATTTGGAATGGACGAGGCAAACATCGAGGAACTGAATAGAGAAAAACCAAGAGATGGCAAAGCCAAAATCGAGTTACTTGGACAGTATGATCCAAATGGGGAAACAGTTATCCGAGACCCTTACTATGTAAGTATTTTTATTTTAATCACCTTTCACTTGAAACTAATTTTTTTTTCTATGCAGGACAGCAACACCACAGGATTTGAAAAGGCATACGATCAGTGTGTAAGGAGTATAGAATCATTTTTAAAAAAGCATACATAGTACCTTTGTCTGTTACAATAACACTAGGTACACTAAACTACTGATAAGTAATGTGAAGTAAAAATATAAAAATTATAAAAATAAAAAATATTTTATATACCTAAAAATTTTTTATTCTATATCAAGTGGCATAACGAATTAAATATTGCTCATTAGATGGCCTTTGTAAAACAATATTGTTGGCCCTGAAAAGGGCCGTTAGGTACTTTCTACGTTTTGTAGAGTTTAAGCACGTTCTCCACGGATACGACGAGCCAATTGGATGTCCTTTGGCATGATCGTGACACGCTTTGCATGGATGGCACAAAGGTTGGTGTCTTCGAACAATCCTACAAGGTAAGCTTCACTGGCTTCTTGTAAAGCCATCACAGCGGAACTCTGGAACCTCAGATCGGTCTTGAAGTCCTGAGCGATTTCACGGACGAGTCGTTGGAACGGCAGTTTACGGATCAGAAGTTCCGTGCTTTTTTGGTAACGACGGATTTCTCGAAGAGCTACGGTTCCCGGCCTATAACGATGAGGTTTCTTCACACCTCCGGTGGCTGGAGCACTCTTGCGAGCTGCCTTAGTAGCCAACTGCTTTCTGGGAGCTTTCCCTCCGGTAGACTTACGAGCGGTTTGCTTAGTACGAGCCATCTTGTAAACGAGCGGAACTTATGTCAGCAACGAAATAGTCTACGTGACCTCACAAGTGAGAAACTGAAACTAAAACTGAATTTTGTCTGATGGGCCGGTCATAATATAGACCTTCGCCCCGTCATCTTGTGAGTGGAGGGGATCGTGAAGTGATTGGATTGGTGCATGCTAGGAGTGCAGTTTTGTGCGCTTCCGATTGGTCGGATTGGAGTGGTGGGGGAAGCTGAAGGTCCCACTATATAATAACGACAATCCAAATTTCCGCATCACTTTGAGTGAAGTTTCTTTGAGGTTATCGTCGATTTAAATTGAGATTGAACCATGACTGGCCGTGGAAAGGGAGGAAAGGGATTGGGAAAAGGAGGAGCGAAAAGACATAGAAAAGTTCTTCGTGATAACATCCAGGGAATTACCAAGCCTGCTATTCGTCGTCTCGCTCGTCGAGGCGGTGTAAAGCGTATTTCCGGCCTTATTTATGAAGAAACCAGAGGAGTTCTAAAAGTATTCCTTGAAAACGTGATTCGAGATGCGGTCACTTACACTGAGCATGCCAAAAGGAAAACCGTTACTGCCATGGATGTTGTATATGCCCTAAAACGCCAAGGCCGCACTCTCTACGGATTTGGAGGTTAAACGTCGCAGTCGTTTCTGTAAACAAAACGGTCCTTTTCAGGACCACAAATTTATACTACGTAAAAACAACGAATTCGAGTCGCATATTGTAGTTTTAAGCACTTTTAATTTTTAACATTAATTAATGTAATATATCAGAACTTCAGAACGTCTGAACCAAACTAAGTGAATGATGACGTTTAGTCACCAACGGTTCCCCCTTATGCTCGCCGGAGCGTGTCGTTTGCTGATTGGCCGATTTCGAGTTGCAGAAGCTTGAGACGGTTGCATAGAAGAATAGGAACTGAATCTACCGTTATATCAAACATTTCTTGTTTTGTTCTGAATAAAATAACATTATCTGAGCTATGGTGTATTACGATTTAATAAAATGCTAAATATGCTTAATACGAACTACCAAGACCCGTCAAAATAATTGGTTTCAGATGACCCATCTTATAAAAAAAAATTCACCAGTAGTTCTACCGTTAAAGATTATTTTAAATAAAGTTCAAATGAAGCTAAATTCTTCTAAATGTAAACTATTTGCATTTTACTTTGGTGATGTAGGTAGAGACTCAATGCGAAATGAGAAAATCCTTCGTAAAAATTATTTGGGGCCCTGAAAAGGGCCATTTTTGATGTTCGTAGATTGCCTTAAGCTTTTTTCTCCGTCTTCTTTGGCAGGAGAACAGCTTGGATGTTTGGTAGCACTCCGCCCTGAGCGATGGTTACTCCAGACAAAAGCTTGTTTAATTCCTCGTCATTCCGAATGGCAAGCTGGAGATGGCGAGGGATAATTCTGGTCTTCTTGTTATCACGAGCGGCATTACCTGCTAACTCCAAGACTTCAGCTGCCAAGTATTCCATGACGGCAGCCAAGTAAACTGGAGCACCAGCACCGACGCGTTCGGCGTAATTTCCCTTTCTCAAAAGTCTGTGAATTCTTCCAACAGGGAATTGAAGACCAGCCCTGTTTGATCGGGACTTTGCCTTTCCCTTGACTTTTCCTCCCTTTCCACGTCCAGACATGCTGATAGATGTACTCGGTTGTACAATGAATATCCCAAACTCTAACCGAATTCACCGTTAGGATGAAGTGATGATCAGTCGTACCACTCACTCGACAGTCTACGATTGTCTGAAATTGACTGACCAAAACTCTTGACTCTTGAAATTTTGGCCAAGGAGTATTGGACTTGCGTCCTTTCCTCCTGCAATCATTGAGTTAGGGGGTTGTTGTAGTGGGTGTGTGTTAGGGGGGGAGGGGGAGAGTGGGTGGGGGTCAATTGTCAAGGGGGTGATGGAAGTGGACTGGGTTATGTTAATGACTTACGTATGTTGAAGCGAGGTGGTCGTTTGCAATTTACACGAGTCAGAGTATTCAGCTTTCACACAGCGGGAGCGGCAGGAGCGGAGCGCGTCGAACCGAACTCGATTAACCAGGCTCACTCGACTCACTCGAATGAACTGTGACTGACCAAAACTCTTGACTCTTGAAGTATTGGCCAAGGAGTATTGGACTTGCGTCCTTTCCTCCTGCAATCATTGAGTTAGGGGGTTGTTGTAGTGGGTGTGTGTTTAGGGGGGGGGGGGTGA